CTATGTTCTATGTTCTATGACATTTTAAGGCTAATGTATATATGACATTAGAATCCCTACAGTGTGGAAACAGGCCTTTCAGCCCATTGAGTCCACACTGACCCTCCAAAGAACATACCACCCAGACCCACCCCCGTAACCTTGCATTTCCCATGTCTAGTCCACGTGGCCTGGACATCCCTAGACACAATGAGCAATTTAGCATGGCCAGTCCACCTAAGCTGCACATCTTCGGACTGTGAGAGGGAACCAGAGCACCTAGCGGAAACCCACGGAGATATAGGGAGAATGCGCAAACTCCAAACAGATTGTCACCCAAAGGTGGAATCAGAGCCAGGTCCCTGGCACTATGAGGCAGCAGTGCTAACCACTGAGCCACTGTGATCCGACATTGTATTGCTATCTTGTATTACTTCCCAAAGCAGTGAATTCACAGTCAACTTGACCACTGGAAGTGGGTGAAGGTAAGGTTTTCACCTCTGGCTGACAGTCTGTTTGTAAGCAATATATTTTTAGAAATAGATTTCAGCAAGACTTGGTACATAGGTAGGATATGGTCAAAGGAAGAACTGATTAGATTTAGGTGAAGATGTGGATTTTGCTCCTGGAAACTTTTATAATATCAATTAACATGAAGCAAATTGCCTTTTTTGTTTAAGAATATTATGGGTTGTTTAATTAGAATGTTATTGTTTGTTTTAGAATGTTGTGGATTGTCTCACCTGCTTTGCTACAATTTGTCATGTTGTTAAAATATGAGCAGAACTTTCTCAGCAGGTTGTTGAGTGTGGATTGGCATAAAGCCTCATCAGTAAGATGGAAGCTCTTAATAAAACAATTCATATTTCTTAGCTTTATAATTATGTTATGGTCCCAACTGATGGTTCAACTGGACAAAGTCAGAACTCAGAATTAGATTTTTTTAAAATTTAGTTAACATGGCGGTCAGTCACTAAGCAATAGTCACATGAGGCTGTGGAGATCTGTAACAACAGAACAGAGGTTTATTGCATAAAAGAGACAAGCAAAAAATAACAAAGTAGATTTTCTGGATATGGGATACGAAAAGGTCTCAGAAAACTCACGATAAAAAGTTTCAACCCCAGTTTTCTTACACCACCAATCACAGAGACTCAAATCCAGAGGGATTGCACTTCTGTATCAAATCTTTAAGTTCCATTTAACTGATTCTCCCCAGTTTCCGTCTTGTGATCTGTGGAGATTTTTTACATGAATACTCAAAACTGAGAGCTTAAAACTTCTAATACGAAGCAGATTTCAAGTCAAACTCTTTGGGCTGGAATGTCCATGAACAAAAATTCTGCTCAATTAAATTATTCCCTTAGCTACAATGGAAACAATCTCTGTAGGGGAGAAACTATTTTGGTTTCTGACCTCAACCAGGTTGCCTCTAAACCTGAAAAGATTTCAATCCTTGGGTTTTCTAAACTAAATCAATCCTTGATTATTGTTGTGATCCCAGCTGATGTTACTATTGGACAAGTCCAGTTCCAGAATGAAATCTGGCCTGATAGATCATTTTTTTAAAAAAACAGGTTCTGGTGAAGTGTATTACCAGACTCACAGCATTAACTCTTGTTTCTCTCACCATAGATGCTCCTAGACCTGCCAAGGTTCTCCAGAACTCTTTGTGTCTATTTCAGATTTCCAGCATCTGCAGTACCTTTGCTTTTATAGTTTATTTTCTTTACAGCTCTACACAGACCCTTTTTTCTGGAAGAAACTATTGAATCTGACTTCAGTCAGGTATCCTTTGAATTGAATCCAAAAGCTTTTGAACTATTTTTTGACAAAACTGTTTTTTTATCCTAGAATCTGCTAAAAATAATATCTTAATGTTTAATCTCTCCGGCCATGAACTCATACAGTATCAAAAAAGCTCCCCATTAACACTCCAAGAGGCTTGTAGTCACCTGCTCTCTATTACATATCAAGTTTCAGGAAAGACTAATTAATTTCTATATCCGTTCACAAAAAAAACAACATCCAAATGCCACTAGTTTGAAATCAAAACTCCTAAAAATAATTCACATAAATCGGATGCTGTCCATCACAATATTTTGAATAGAAAGACAGGCTCTACCTGTTGCAAATCCTACAGCATAAACATTTCATTGAATTCGCACTCCAGGTGTTCCACAGTTACCTGCTCCCTGACACATTCTAGATTAGATCACTGTTACAGAAGGACTGTCTGACCTGGTTTGTTTTTTTAAAAAAAACTTGACAGAAGTAACCAACGCTCATATGGCACTATTTTGAAATCCAGCATTACAAATGATCACCTAAATGACATGCCTTTCATCACAATTACAGAACCCTACCAGGTAGGGAAAAGCCTCGAGGAAGAGCTGTATAATTATAACAAAATTGATTTGACACGACATGGTAGAGGTTTGTGCTGTACTGAGATAAAGTTCAAGTCAGGATGGTGTGAAGTTTGGAGGGAAACTTACAAGTGGTTTTGTTCCCAAGCATCTGCTGCCCTTCCTTAAGTGCTGCAGGTTACGTGTTTAATGGAACAAAATATTTCAAGGTGTTTCACAAGAGCAAAATAAATGTCATGATGTTGAAGAAAAATGTGTACTAGAAATCAAGCCCTAATATTCCTGAGTCTTCATAAATGTGCAACGAACTAATTTAATCACTCAGATGGTTCATTTGTCTGACATTGACCATTATATAAAATAAACAAAACTCACACCGGGCTTCATCAATAAACATGGAAACAACAACTTATTTATTGTAAAAACTGAAAGAACTGCGGATTCTGTAAATCAGAAACAAAAACAGAAGTTGCTGGAAAAGCTCAGCAGGTCAGGCAACATCTATGGAGAGAAATCAGAGTTAACGTTTCGAATCGAGTGACCCTTCCTCAGTTTTTGTTTCTGATTCATTTATTACAGTAAATATATCCATTAAAGTCAAATGGATTAACTACGAATAAGCAAACCTATACCTTTGTAAAGTCTAAACTGGCACACTTTCATTCACAATTAGATTTGATTTGATTTATTATTGATATATGTACTGAGATACATTGAAAAGTATTGTTTTGTGTGCTATTCAGGCACATCCTATCATACATAACTACATTAGGGTAATAAAACAGAATACAAAATAAAGTGTTACAACTACAGAGAAGGTGCAGAGGGAGATCAACTTTAATATTTGAGAGGTCAGTTCAAAAGTCAGATAACATCAGGGAAGAAGCTGTTCTTGAATCTGTTATATATTTTCAAACTTTTATATCTTCTGCCCAACGGAAGCAGGTGGAAAAGGGTATAACCAGGGTAGGAGGGGTCTTTGATTATATTAGCTGCATTCCTGAGGCAGCGGGAAATGTAGATGGCGTCAATGGATGGAAGTCTAGTTTGTGTGGTAGTTCACAACTCTGTCATTTCTTGTGGTCTTGGGTAGAACAGTTGCCATATGAAGCTGTGATGCATCTGGGTAGGATGCTTTCTATGGTGCATCTATAAAAATTGGTAAGAGTCATTTTGGACATGCTAAATTTCCTTTGCTTTCTAAGGAAATAGATGTATCAGTGTGCTTCGACAAGACAATGAAAACAGACAGTTCTCCATAAATAATATGGGTGAAGTTTGTAGGCAAAGGGGAAGAATTTCTGTGGTTCAAGAGTCCGTTCTGTAAGGGTGGAATGAGTTGTTTTTGATTTTGGCGATAATACCACGTAGTTGTCAATGCTCAGTTCAGTAGCTGGTCAATTAGGCCCATGTTTTTGCTTGAGGTAGAAATTTTATTTTCGAATCTTTTAGTGCTGTCTTTTCTTCCTACTGTCAGAGGGAGAGAGATATGATTTTGTTTGTTTTGAAGACTTTTGGAAGTCTGAAGGTAACTGGTGGCAAACTGTATTTTAACTAATCAAAACAGCTTCTGGGCAGGTTTTTAACCCATAGATATCTGTTGCCAGCAGTGCTCACAAAAGTATCAAAACCATCTACTCTAAAAGTTACATTACCTTATGTAACCAATAAGGGAACACCACTCAGCTTTTAGCCTTTGAATTGTTAAAAGAAAGGGTAATTTTCTACAACACAGCAGTCCAGACTTCTAATTTCCCAGTTTATATTTCAAATAAGAGAAGTGCTCCTTTAGTAACACAAAGTAAGACCCTGAGCCACATTAGGAGATATGACATCATATTTCAAAAAAAGCTAGATTTTAAAAGTGTCTTAAAGTAAGGATTGATTTATTGATTGATTTTATTGTCACGTGTACCAAAATACAGTGAAAAGCTTTGTTTACAAGCGGTACAGGCAGATCCCAGCAAGCAAAGGATGTACAGATCAAAAAGACTTAGAGACATACAGGTTACGTTGCAGGTTACATTATTTGAGGCTAGGGTCCATTCAACAATCTGATAACGGCCGGAAAGAAACTGTTCCTGAACCTGCTTGTGCGTGTGTTCAGGTTTCTGTATCTTCTGCCTGACGGAGGGGGTTGTGGGAGGTCATTACCAGGGTGCGATGGGTCTTTGATGATGTTAGCCGTCTTTCCGCGGCAGTGAGCCGTGTAAATAGAGTCCATGGATGGAAGATTGGCTTCTGTGATGGTCTGGGCTGTGCACACAACCTTCTGTAGTTTCTTATGGTCCTGGGCAAAGCAGTTGCCGTACCAGGCCATTATGCACCCGGACAGTTTGCTTTCAATGGTGCATCTGTAGAAGTTGGTGAGGGACCTTATGGACATGCCGAATTCCTGAGCTGCCTGAGGAAGAAGAGGCATTGTTATGTCGGGGGTAGAGAGGGAATCCCAGAACTTGGAGCCTAGGCAGCTGAATGATGGAGCAGTTATAATCGAGAATGTACAACAAACCAGAATTAGAGGAGCATGGGCACTTTGGAGAGTTGCTGGGTTGGAGAAAAGTACTCAGAAATTTTTAATCAAAATCACTTGATTAACCGTTTATGTATGCGGCACATTTTTGATGAAAAGCTTTTGCACTTTTCCCTCAGAATATCTCGAAAGCATTTCTATTATTTATCAAGACCTCCTTATGGGAAAAAATCCAAATGCTGTGATTGTGCCAACTTCCTCCATCCAACAACATCGCTTACTGTCTGTTGAAACAGCAACACAAGAAGGCGTTGATGCATCCCAGTTTTATGACTGTTTGGAAACTCTCTGTGATAGATATAAACACAAGTAAGTATTATTGTAATAGTAGTTGGTTTTGTCCCCATTTTGATTGGTTTTCTTCCTTTATTCAGTATTAATGTCAATTTGTTTCTAATGTTTATCACTCATAATTAACATAATGTTTTTTTCCTGTGCATTCTACCAATAAAATTTGTTCTAATTAGATTCCAAAAGAAAAAAAAGTCACAATTCCACATTTCAAGAGGAGACAAAGTCCTAGGGGTATTATCACTGGACTATTAATCTAGAGATCCAGATGATAATCTGGGTAGAAAAGCAAAATTGCTGGAAAAGCTCAGCAGGTCTGGCAGCATCTGTGATGGAGAAAACAGAGTTAACGTTTCGGGTCCGGTGACCCTTCCTCAGGACATAGAATGATCTGGGTGCCCTGGTTCGAATCCCACCATTGCAAACAGCTTTAAAACAAAAAAAAACAAAAAAAAATCTGAAATCAAGGGTTTAATGATGACCATGGATGATCATTATCAATTGTTGGGGAAAAACCCACCTGTTTCATTCTTGCCTGGTCTGGCCTACATGTGACTCCAGGCACACTGTAATATACAGTAACTCTTAACTGTCCTCTGGGCAATTAGGGCTCAGCAATAAATGCTGGTCTAGCCAGCGATGCCCACGTCCTGTGAATGAATTTTTAAAACAATTCCCTGAAATCTAACATTACCAGCATAACAAAGATATATAAGAATTGAAAATTTACCTTTCAAGTTACCAGTTATTGCTGCGAGGTTGGATTTAGTCCTACTACCATGACACCAGTTGGTATACCTGGACATTATGGTTGTGGGTCCGTGGGCTTGGCTGATCCTGGGTATGTAGTGGCACTCTCATGAGCGTTGGGGACACACAAGATCTGGTAAAGTCTGATGGGCTGGTGGCGACACTGACATCACTTAAGTTCTGTCACCATCCCATCAAGAATTGGTGTCACATTTGAAGCACAGCCAACCCTGCGCTGGAGTTGGAAATTGTCCTACAGGCTTTTTAAGACAGTCCTACAGTTTAAATCCCCACTATCTGAAGCTCTTAGTTCCAGCCCAAAAAGGCAATCCAAAGTCCAGGGAGAAGATTCCTCCACTGTCACATCTCCATTCATTATTTAACCTGTTCTTCGTAGCTAGAAACATAATTTCAGCTTTGTTTAGCAATGCTCTTGCCACTGAATCAGAAGGTCAGTGCTGAGTAAATTCTGGCTTATCAAATATGGCATATTTTAGAAGAGTTGTACCAATGCCTTGTTTCCTTATTCAGGAGGACATAAACTATCAGTTTTCTAAGAGTAGGACATATGTCCTGTCCTGTCTTGTTCTGTTTGTAGCTGCTCCTCCTGGAAATCAGCTTTCATGATGGGTCAAACACCCTTACCAGTGTGGTATATTTTAAATGTTCCCTCTGTGTTACCTCGGTAACATTTACCATGACGACTGGGTTCTTGTTAATGCATATGTCTGAAAGTTCATGAACAGTGATAACTATTTACACTTATATCAGACTTGCGCATTGACTGGGTTAAATGCTTATTGATGTTACAATTGCATTACAGTCAGAATTTTCCCAGCCACTGAATGAAATGTGCGTTGGTGAGGAAGTTGGGAGAATCGCATGAGATTGGCAGTAAACAGTTTCTCCATTTCAAGAGCAAAATGTCCCATTTTTAAACCAAATGCAGTGAAGAACTTACTTGCATATTTTAATATGTATTAACATTTAATTATATTTGATCTCACCTAATTTATATGCAGCTTCCTATTCACCGGATAGAAACAATTCATAACATGGAAGTTATAGCACACTCAGAGATAGTAAGAACTGCCGATGCTGGAGTCAGAGATAACACAGTGTGGAGCTGGAGGAACACAGCAAGCCAGGCAGCATCAGAGGTCTGAAGAAGTGTCCCGACCCAAAACGTCAACTTCCCTGCTCCTCTGATGCTGCCTGGCCTGCTGTGTTCCTCCAGCCCCACACTGTGTTATCTATGGAAGTTATTGCAGTTTCCTGGTGACTCTGGTTTGCCACCTCTGGCCCTCTAACCCATTAACCATTGTCTCAGGGTACAAAATATGGGCAGCAACCATCCACAAATGTTGGCATCTGACATGTACCATCCTCACTGCACCCTGATGAAGGGTCCCGACCCGAAACGTCAACTTTCCTGCTCCCCGATGCTGCCTGACCTGTTGTGTTCCTTCAGCTCCACACTGTGTTAAGGCTGAAGGGATATTTGATAGATGTGTTTAACATCATGAGTGGGCTGCATAGAGTATATAGGGAGAATTGTGAAAGGAACAAGAACGAGAGGACATAGATTTAAAGTGATGAGCAAAAGAAACAAAGCTGAAATAAGGAAGAAATGTTTTCACACAACGCGTAGTTAGCTTATGGAATATACTGTCATATGGCAGGTTCAATTAAGGCATTCAAGAGGGCATTTAATGATTATTTGGATAGAAATAGTGTGCAGAGGTATGGAGTAAACGTAGAAGATTGGCACTTGATAATGATGCTCATTTGAAGAGCCGATGCGGACACAATGGGCTGAATGGCCTCCTTCTGGATCGTGACAGTTCTGTGATTCTGTGATCAATTGGGACTGTCTGTCCAAGTCAGTGAAGGTGGTGGGCCACAACCAACCCTGAAAGCCCAGTCACTCAAAGTCAATGTGGTGTTATCAGGGGCTGCTACTGCAGGAGTACAGCTGGGAAACTCACCGTGGGGTTTGGAAGCAGCTCGGTAGGATACAGATTGTGAAGGGTCGGAGGGGGAGCTCAACAGGTCAGAATGGGAGACATTAGTGAATGGAAAGGAAAGGATAATGCTGGAGGGGAACAGCACCACCGTCGCTTCAATGGTGGGGGGTGCAGTGCATTATTTTGCTTGTTGTGAGGATTTAATATGCCTGGGGCTCAGGGGCCAAAGAGGGAACATGAGCAGTTAAACAAACCGGCTGGGTAGGAATATGAGAGAAGTTCAAGGCTGATGCGCGTGACAGGGAGGGCTACCAAGAAAAGAATCTGTAGATTTGGTGGGTCACCTAGAATAAGAGGCTGAGCCAGGGACTCACTATGTGAAGCACAAATGCTGTTTCCTTTCCTTGAGATTCAAATAAGAAATGTGTAATGGAGATGAAAATGGCTGCCACCACACCCAGATGGAAGTGTCTCATTCTGTGAGGAAGAGGTGTTCACTTCTGTTTGATGTGAGGCCCTTCAAAGGGTAACAACATGAAACAGACACACAGTGCAAGTGAATACACCTGTGATCACAAAATGCCGGATGTGAACCTTGGGCAATAATTTACAGTGTGGGTTACAAATCCTGACCGCAAGCACACTTGACCACATTGTGCAGCATCAGGAAGCAATCCCACTAGTGGCCGTGATGCATAGTCAATGTATTGCATTCTAGACATTTCAATGTCATTTCATTTCGATTGAGTCATGACTGAGCCATTTTGATGGCGGCAGAGTAGCAGGGCTGCATGCGGCCTCCTAGGCCCAGGGCTCCCACCTGCTTTCTTTCTTTTTCTATTTACTTTTGCTCTTTTTTTTCTTTTCTTTGGGGCCTTTTATGGTGGTTTAATCAGCAGCATTGGCTCAAAAGGAAGAGTGGGCAATGTGTGGGATGGGAAAAGGCGCAGCCTCCCAGTCGCTAAAGCTGGAAGCAGACATGGCTCCCCCCCAGCAATTGGAGGCAGCAACAGCAGTGACAGCAAAGACATTGTTCCTCCCAACATTCGGGACAATGGCAGCGGCAGCAGCTGCAAGAATGCAGCTTCTCCCAGCGATCACTGCAAGACTCGCAGGTTGCCCAAGACTTGCAGGCCACGGTTAGGCCCAGGTGCCTGCATTGGTGGTTCCAAACCCCATTATGGAGATAAGACTTAGACTTTAAGACCCTGATATTTCTCTTACCTTTTGGTTTTCTTTTATTTCTGCTGGTTTTTAAAAAAATCATGGTTCTGTAACCAAGATGTCTCTGGTGAACGGTGACTTTGTTCATTGTTCACTGCACTCATGTATTCCTAAACTTGAGTACCCATGACAATAAATTCCAACTCTAATTCTAGATCAATTCATTCTAATTGGCAAAGTAGCAAGTACCTTCCAAGGTCCCGTAGCCTGCACATGGTGCAGGAGCTGTACACTTCACGCCCTGCATCATAAAACATTGTGTAACATGAAGGAGGGCTAGGCTCTACGCCTTCAATCTTACACTTGCAGCTTGATATGCATTTACTCACACAGCTGATGATGAAAAATGAACATATATTTACAAATGTGGAAATGCAATTACAATGATGTTTCACCCATGCCACCTATGTGCCCTCAGAAGATATTCCTCCTTTCCCTCCCACTACATGCAGTCCCAGGATAAGCAGCTGGGCTGGAGAGAGCCTGGTGTACAGTGGAGCATGTTTGTCTTGGAGTTTTGGTCTGAAGGATGTTTGTGTCTAAAGTAATCAGCCTTGTTGTGTGTGTGTTATGTCCAGAGGCATTGCCTAGTCTCCTTACGAGGAAGGGTACCTGGAGTTAGGTGAAGACTCCCATCTCCCTGTCACCTCGCCTTTGGCGATGAGGGTGAATTGCTAGAGCAATAGATTACAGAATAGCCTTGCTGAAAGATAAACACTTTTGGGAGATTGAAATATATGCTAGGGATCTTCCTACCATATAAATGGTGTGTCTTTGCAATAAAGGTCTTGAAGAAGAGAGACTTTGATCGCAAAATTCAGAATATAAATGGAGGAACCAAGACACCTTTGAATTCATAAATAAACCCGCAAGAACTGTGATACTAGAAATAAGAAACAAAAACAGAAATTGCCGGAAAAACTCAGAACTGAAGAAAGGTCACTGAACCCGAAACGTTAACTCTGCTTTCTCTCCACAGATACTGCCAGACCTGCTAGGTTTTTCCAGAAATTTATGTTTTAGTTACCTTTGAATTCATCTTTATCATGTGCCATAGATAGCTTCTGTATTTCTTCTCTTTTGGGAGGATCAGGATCTAATATCATTTGACAAAGAGATTGTTCTACAGAAATTGGATTGGCTCTTGCTGATACGAATTTTTTTAGCATTGAGTGGGAAATTAATGGCACTGGGGCTCTGCTCAAACTATTTAACAATCACATTTAGTAACGTAAGTGCCATCTTATAAATCATTTTTAATCCAGCTGTTCAGACGTGTTTTGACACATTTGAACCCAGACCTCCTAGGCCAGAGGTAAGGGCACTACCACTATGCGACAAGATGGCTTAAAGCATCATCTTATGGATGCACAATCACGAGCAATGTTTTCATGGAATTTGAGGGGAACTCTGCACAATTTATGCCATAATCCTCCAGGATATTTCAACTACCTGCAGCTTTAGTTGTGGCAATACTATTCTTTCAAAATAACTGCACCTTTTATGTATGAATTCTAGGGATGTCAGCTTTTCTGAGGCATCGCCTGCAATTTTTAAACAATCCTTCTGTGTTTTCTGAGTTGCCTCACATACAGTAGTACTGTTACAATACTCTATGTTTCAACTTCCACGCACTAATGTCTTTAACATTGGTCTCTACTGTCTTCAAAAGGACAAGTATATCATCACTGAGATATTTCTACTGTCTTTCACAGCCACTTGCCCTTCTCACCATGTTGTCTTTGCAGCTTTTTGCATGCTCACTCTAACATGCCTGCCATCTGAAAATGTTCAGTGGCATAAGGCAGCAAAAGTATCTTGCTGCTTTATCATTGTAACCCCCTCGCAAAGCTGTACAGATCACACGATAAGGACTGTTACGTTAATTGAATTGTGCTTTATCTTTCATTAAATCATAAAATCTTAGAACAAATTCCCTGAAATTAATGTTTTGTTAAAACCAGTCAAAAACAGTTTTATTTACACAGGTCAAATCCCATCAGAACGAGACAAAAGAGTTATTATTGATGCAGCTTCTCAGCAGGACATTATGCTGCCTTCAAACGATACCAACATGAACCCCACCACAAGAACCATAGATTTCATAGTAAAATTAAAGCTGTTTGCATTTTGGCAGGATTTACATTACAAAATTTGTGCCAAAGTTCAGTCCGTGCCAGATTGATTCTGGCTTGAACTCAGAAATTTAAGCAGGTTATTGAAACATTTCAGCTGCACAGAGTGACATGTTGAAATTTAAAGGATGCCAATTCTTCTTCTAAACACATGAAGTTCCTGTTTATTCAGCAGAGTAAAGGTTAATAAACTATTGGCTGCATCTTATACTGACCAAATAATCAAGAGATATAAAAGACAGTAATCCTAAAGGAAATGTTTAGTCTATGTCTCCAGACCTTTTAAAGAAAAATATGGTCACACAGCAGCAGCCTGTATATCCTCTCTAAAATGACTTTTTATTTAAAGCATGCTGTGTGACAGAGCATCGTATCTTTTTCTACTGAACCTAGACTGGATTATGCACTGAAGGCAGGCTTCCCACATTCCAGTGTGAATATCAGGGGTCAGTCTTTTGTTTAGCCCTGTTTAAATGATTCAGGCGATGGCCCTTCAGATAATATGAGGCCGTTAGTATGAGTCCATCCTCTTTAAGGATAAAGCCTCACCCCCATGAGAGTTGCCTGCCAATTGGAAGTCAACAGCTGTGCACCCTAGCAGTGCCATTGCCAGTACAGCAGGTATGGCAAGGATGTGATATTCAGCAACACAGGTAAGCCCAGAATCTCACTCAGGTCACACCGACAGGCCTCTGTGACCCATTGCTCAAGTTCCTTCCTGCTGTAATGAAGAGGTTAATCCTTTAAGTTAGACTTCAATGGCAGTGAGAGATTTTATGGTTGAACAGTTGGACATTGCTTGCATGGATGGATTCCGTGAGTAGAGCAGCCTTTGAGAGAGGTGTTTTATGTTCCTCATGTGTTCTGTAGCTGCAGCATTTGCAGATTGCTTGGACTCTTTTGACAGAAAAGTGGTTTATTTCTGAAGTAAACTTTTCTCTCAAAATGAGAACTCTTTTCTCCAAAGACTTTGTCCTCTTAGGGTTGTTCCTAGGGAGTCCTGATTTAAAATGGAGTTTCACGGCTTTATACAGATCAAGCTGAAGATGGCTATTTCAACATGTCATGAAGCATGATCCCATAAAGCAATATGGATTACACTAGTGTCCCCTCTGGGGGGTCTCTTGCCTCAGAGTCTCAGAGATTTTAAATTTTCAAATCTGCAAAAACCTATTGTGTTGTCTAAAGGGGTAATTGAATTTCAAGTAGTTGTCTTTGTGGTTGTTATTGAGATAACATACCAGCCTGTCTGCTTTTTGGCTGGCTGAAGTGAATCAACAAGAATCAGTCATTAACGTCTGCAGAGAGATGGTAGGAACTGCAGATGCTGGAGAATCTGAGATAACAAGGTGTAGAGCTGGATGAACGCAGTAGGCCAAGCAGCATCATAGGAGCAGGAAGGCTGACGTTTCGGGCCTAGACCCTTCTATCCTGCCAAAGAACTGGAATCAAGACAAATACATGATCATTAATCAATGAGAACTAAGGACAGTAAGCCAAGCTGTCTACAAAACCTTTAGACCATAGCACCAGCAATAAGTCATTTGTCTTATTCAGCTGCTGTATTATTTGAAAGTTCAATAAACAAAAGACATTAATTCCTTCTGTCTTTGTCAAGATGTGATCCTGCTAATGTGCTCATGTTTGGGTCAGAAGAGTTTTCAGCATTTAGTTAAGAGATAATTAAACAACAGACACTTCCGCAGAATCTTACGGGATCTGAGCATCGTAGGCTATGACAAGTTGTGTGGTAGAATCAGGAGAGATGTTTGGTGAGGTATATTTTAACTTTGAAATCATCTCACCCTATCTTCTACTCTTTCTACAAGTGACATGGGGAGATTCTTGCCAGGCAATGGCAAGTTGCCAATTGATGATCATTGTCAATTGTTAAGGTACCTATTGACAGCCCCAGCTTACCTCATCAATATTCCGGTTGTGATCTTACGGACTAGCCATCAGGAACACCAGATGTGGAAACCAGAACAAGTGCTTGGTAGGCTCAGTTCACCGCCTTTTCCAAATGACCCCCATCTTGCCCATAGTGTCACACGTCACTGGGGTAGTGCACTGGAAATCAAACTCCATTATTCCTACAGTCCTCACCAAAGTTTGAAGTTTTTAAAAGAAATGTGCAGAATCCCCCAACTCCTTGAACTTCAGACCAGGTTGATAGAAAACACCAGGTTAATATAATTAACAAAAAAAACATTAATTGTTACAAGTAATTTGATTCTGGCTATAGGTAAACAATTAAAATAAATCAAGTAAACCCTAAAATTAAAACTCTAAACTTCAAAAACTCCCCCTTACCCAGACAAAAATAAGCAAGGGATAAAGAGCACAGGCAAAAGGAAATCTTAGAAAACAGTACAGGAGTCATTATTCACCAAACCTGTGGGTTGATGCTTGCTGATCCAAAGATTTATCCTCAATCATCGCTTTTTTGAAAGCTTCCACTGGTTTGCAAGGGGCACAGGGTGGCTGTGTCACTCACAAAAGGTTTCTGACTTATCCCATTCAAAGTCACCACTTGCAGCATCTACTGAAGGAAAGGTAAGCTAGTTTTCTTCAGGTTTGAAGTGGCTTACTACACAGAACTGAGAAAGGATTTGTTTGGCTGCTACGTACCTGTTGGTTTCTCTTCTGGTCAGAATATTTTCTGTCTTATTCGTAACCCATGCTACCTGGCAACCAATGACATTGTTGTAGGTAGGCAGAGGGCTTTTGTCATTGATAACTGGGCCCTAGTTGGGGGGAGGGGTTGGCATAGCTCAGTTGGCTAGACAGCTGGCTTTGCAAGCAGATTGATGCCAACAGCATGGGTTCAATACTGCACTGGCTGAGGTTACCATGAAGGATTCTCCTTGTCAACCTCTTCCCTCACCTGACCTCAGGGTAAACCACCACCAGTTGTCTCTCTAAAATGAGAGAGCAGCCCTATGCTTTTTCAGTCCACAAACCACCCTTAAACAGCACCTTGGCTCCTGTTCATCTGCACATTACTGGACCCCCCAGCTACACAAACAGTGTTCACAATTGCTATCAAATTCCTTACTTTCAAAACATGCAGCCACCCTTGTAAATCCCTAGATTAAAACAGTTCTGTATGATTTAAAAAGCACAAAAATAAAAGACATGATCTTTACAACAGCCAAGCTATTAATGTCACTGGTCCAATCTCTTACTTAAGCTACATATTTTGTAGTGCCTATAGCATCTGTTCAACTCCTCAATAATTGTTCCATCTCAAAATTTTAGTAGTGTCATAACACATTTTTCAATGGGTTCCTTGTCAGGACTAAACCCTCATAAGTCTATAACATATTCATTTAAAATGAAGTGCATACGAGAAAGGAATAAGTGTTATCTTATATTAAATACAAGTGAAAAAGATATGATGAACAAAAATGTCCTTCTTTTTATAGTTACCCATCAGTTCCGTACGTGAAGCAGATCCTCCACAAAGTGCAACGAGTGACATTCTTCGGATTTGCAATGGCCCTTGCAAAGCACGAGGGGATTAACTCCAAATTAGGTAGGCAATAATTCTGGGGAAGTCGCTTTTGGGAGTGCTGGTATTTAAAATAATTTTTTATTACAATGTGCAAGTTCTGCAATAAATATGTTATTAATTTATCAAGACCTTGATCAGTCAGGCAATCAGATACTTGATGTTAAAAATTCCAGCTGGGTTTATATTGATTGATTTGACTATCTCCTTCTAATAATGGTTATTTAATCAAGAGAACAGGGTTACTTACGATAAAGTTGAAGTGGTCTCTTTTGAAATGTATCCTGTCACTTCATTCTCTCACTTTTCTTAATGTTTATTCCATGGATCTACAAATACATAATCTTAATCTGTCCTGGAGTGTTGCCCTATAATTAAATGTGTTATGATTTGTGCATTTGGTTATTTACGTGAACATGGATATCTTGTGTGATGCTCAGAAAAGATGATAAACAATGCTCAGCCCCAAAACAGAAGCACAATACATCTGAGAAACAGCCTGGATTTTCTTTTAAATTCATTCATGGGACATGTGCTTCACAAGCTGGACCAGTGTTTATTGCGTGTCTTTAATTGGACTGGAATTGAGTGACTTGCCAGACCATTTCAGCGGACACTTTAGAGTCAATCACATTGCTGTTGGTCTGGAGTCATATGTAGGCCAGACCAGGTAAGACTTCCTTCTGTAAAGGGCATCACCTGAGTTTTTACAACAATCAACAATGGCTGTTACCTGGTCGCCTTTAGACTCGTTTTTAGTTCCATATTTTTATTGAATTCAAGTTCAATTGAATTTAAATTTCACCATTTCCCATGCTGAGATTCAAACCCATGTCCAATTTCTTTGGGTTTTGGATTACTAGAACATTCCCACTACACCATTGCCTTCCCAAATAAAGGGGTTATGTATAAGGTCACTTCTTCAGGGTGACAAAAGTTAAAATTGCGTTTTTATTACATTAGTTTCTGGGATTATTATGATTGTTTTGGAATCACATTACCCAATACAGTTTGTTTTATTTTCTGTGCAACACTTCACTTCATCAGCTACAAAGCTTTGATTGCTACTTTTTTAGACCGGCAAGGCAAACTAAATTTATTTAGCGTTAAGCGGTTTCATGCATTGGAAAGAACGCTAATTGGCAATAATTTTCAGACTCAGCCTCAGTGCCTCGGTCCTCATTGGTGTGGTTATTGGTATTTCCCTCAGAACTACTGCACTCTCAGCAATATGTTCAGTTGCCTGATTCCCTAACTGCCTTGCATGGGTATGTCCCAAACTGCTGTGCTTCAGACTGTTTAAAACACATGTTGCAAAGGCATTTATAGTATCATAAACAGTGAGCTTATTTTAAAAGTTAGACCTCTAAAAGAATGGAATGAAAAGAATCCAAAGGCACCCTGTATTTTTGAGATGATCCAGACTACACCAGGTGTCACAATATTTTGTGCTTTCAATAGATCACAGTGTGCAAATGGCATCTGTTTTTCTCCAGTGCAAAACGTTTGAACATTGAAGTCTGGATCTGCCTTTTTTGAAAGCGCCATTCTACACATATTTCTGAAAGTACATTATTCTAATTCTCCATCCATTCCTCTTAGGTCGTCCCTCAGGATCGAGGATGACTTGTTTCTGATGGAGGCCTAAACCTTCAATTATCCCTGGGTTCACTTAAAATGTCGGCTGTCTTTCTTATCCTCCTTCTCTGCAGCTTCTCCAATTTGGTCAGTCACAAGCCAGGGACTCCTAAAATTTGGCAGGGGATGTTTGACCTCTGCAGGGTTGCTTTGAAGTCATGTTTAAATTTATATCCATATCCCATGACGTGGTTCAAAATACTGACAGGAGGGGAAGTGCTGTGCTATTAGGGTCATGACTACAGGATAAGGTGGCCCCCAATGCATCCATTTGTGACTAGACAAGAGGCATTATAGAACGATTTCCACATGGGCATGGGCTATTTGAATTCTCACTGATTTCTAGAAGCAAATGTTTGATCTATCGGAGCTGCAGCTAATTCTAAAGGTGAGAATTAAGACAGTTGGTTCTTCGAAGAAAAGCTCAAGTCTATGACATCGATTTTGTTCTTTAAAACCATATATTTGATAAGATTGCATTGTGGAACCAAAAATATAATTTTACTTGTTAGGACTCCGCACAGGTGAGCAACTCACTGTTGTCTGCACGTATAAGTTTTAACGAGCAGAACCTACAGGAAACTGAAAGCTGTACAGTACCAGGTATGGATTTAGTCTTCTTTCTTAAGAAAGGGTATAATTGCATTGGAAGCACTTCAGTTAAGGTTCACGCAACTGATTCTGGGGTTTGAGAGGCTAAGTTATGTGGAAAGGCTGAACAGGTGAAGCATGTAAGATCCTGAGTGGATCTCACAGGATGGATGCCATAACGATGTTTCTCTTATGGGAGAGAGTAGAACCAAGGGACACAGTTTGAAAATAAAAGGTCTCCACTTAAGACTGAGAGAAGGAGAATTTTTTAGAGGACCATTAGTCCTTGGGATTCTCTGCCCCAGAGAGCACAGAAGGCTGGGCCATTTGATACATTCAAGGCAGAGTTAGACAGATTTTTGACCAGCAAGAAAGTCAAGGGTTATGGAGGGTAGAGTTGAGTTGAAGTAGAGTTGAAGCCACAATCTAACCAAATGGCAGAGCAGGCTTGAGGAGCCAAAACACACATCTCTGCTTCCAACTCCTTTGTTCTTGTGAAAGCAGCAAAGAGCCAGGATAAAGCCCTTTCATGATCTGATGTTAGTTTAAAAGTTGCAGTTTCAGTAAATGTCGGAAGACTGCAGCAGAGATCAGCATTAAAAACATGACAGGGATGATGCTACCCTCAGACAAGAAGATTGCTCAGTGAGCTAATAGCACCCATATGTCTGGCAGCATTTTTGAGAGCCATTAAACTCTCACATACTGAACCTGAGTCAAACAAAACCATTGAGTATTGTTTTCAATTATACTGAATGTTAGCGTACTTTTTCCCAGGGATGTCAATGTCCAATCTCCTGTGCTCAGGTTTCCATCTGCCCAATATGAGCTTGCTGTATTGTGTTTAGGTTGCGGTTTTGTCTTTATAACTCCTCTGTGCATGTGGAGAGGTGAGGAGCTAACCTCAGTAGTTCTGTGGAGAAAGCCAATGATCATCCAGCCCCTGAAATGCTTCCCTTCTCTGAGTAAGTGACATGCAGCATTCTCCAAGGCCGTTGTGACTTCTACTGGAACTATAGGATTGAAAGAAGGCTGTTGAAGCAGCACGTTGACATGGTTGTGGAGTTTTTTGGTTGAATGTGTGGTGTAAGTCCACCCACTGATGTGTAAATGACATTCTCTGGGAGGAGCTGGTCAGTCTGCTTCTGTCTGCTGTTAGACTCTAAAATAAAACAAAGAATTGCACGTGCTGGAGATCTGAAACAAAAACCGAAATTGCTGGCAAAGTTCAGCAGGTCTGGCAGCATCTGTAGGAATAAAAAGCAGCGTTAATGTTTCTAAGTCCAATGACTCTTCATCACAGAGTCACCAGTCGCAAAACATACGTCTCTACTTTCTTCCCATGAATGTTGCCTAACCTGCTGAATTCCATCAGCAATTTCTGTTTTTGCTGTTAGACTCTGTTGTCTGTAATCATGGAGTTTAGACCTAGCTACTATCTCATTGGAGATGGCAATATCTCTTATCTAGTGTTAGTAAGAACAAAGAACCGTACAGCACAGGATCAGGTCTTCAACCCACCAAGCCTGCGCCAACACCTTTCTGATGAAGGGTCTAGGCCCAAAACGTCAGCCTTTCTGCTCCTATGATGCTGCTTGGCCTGCTGTGTTCATCCAGCTCTGCACCTTGTTGTCTCGGATTCTCCAGCATCTGCAGTTCCTACTATCTCTGCGCCAACACCTGATGCCTTTCTTTTGCCGCTACATGATTCATATCACTCTTTTCATTGCCTATTTGTATATCAGTCAAGATGCCTCTTAAACATTGCTGAAGAAATTTCTGAAGAAGGGTCCAGACCCCAAACGTCAGCTTTCCTGCTCCTCTGATGCTGCCTGGCCTGCTGTGTTCATCCAGCTCTACACCTTATTATCTCAGATTGTCCAGCATCGGCAGTTCCTACTATCTCTATATTATAGAGTGGTTGTTCTAAAATGTCCTCAGAATTCCAATGAATTGTTGGTATTTGGGGAGATAATTTATGAGAGTCATTCCAGGAATGAGACTCTTCAGTTACGAGGAAAGATTGGAGAAGTTGGTACTGCTTTCCTCAGAAAGAAGAAGGCTAAGAGGAGTTTTAATGGAACTTTTCAAAATCATCAGGGGTCTGGACAGAATGGATAGGCAGAAACTATTCCACTTATAAATGGATCGAGAACCAGAGGGCTCCAGGTTTATAGTGTTTTCTAAAAGGAGCAAATGTGAGATGAGAAAAAACATCCTCACACATTGAGTAGTTAGGTTAAGGAATGCACTGCTTGGAAGTGTGCTGGAGGCAGATTCAATTGTGGCATTTTTGGGGCATTGGATAACTGTTTAAACATGCAGGGTTGTGGGGAAGTGGCAGGAAATTGACACTAATTTTAAATATTCAATGAGTTAGAGCAGACATGATAGGCCAAAAGGCCTCCTTCTATTCCATAACAATTCCATGATTCTACAGTCATCATTCATAAAAATAGATGTGGAAGTACAAATAGTTTAAGTCGGAGAAGTATTGGGTGGAATTTCCTCTGTAATTGTGCTCAGAGACATGTATAATTGAGTGTAAAGCAAATAGATATAGATTGAGGAGTCTTGAATGCAAGAACATTATGCATAAAATTGGTCTATGCTCAAGATCCTTGATCATTTACAACAGTCTATTGATCCTGGTTCCTGGATGCACCTTGGCTCATTAAAAGGGTCCACCCTTAGGCTGAAGAGCCAAACATGTGGATTTGCTGCCATTAAACTAGTTCATAACAGTTATAAAATTATATGTTAGTAACATTGCAAAACCAGCAGGAAAATCCTCA